TACGTTACTTATTCTCGTTAACACTAAAACTTCTATTTTATATCTTCTAAATAGTTAATCCCATCAGGACATTTAGCATTGTTTAAAATTAACTTATGTATTGTAGCTAATGGTTATTAGGAAATAGTAAATCCCATCAGAACACGTAGCACTGTTTAAAGTTAACTTATATGTTGTAGCTAATGGTTGTTAGGAAATAGTTAATCCCATCAGGACATTTAGCATTGTTTAAAATCAACTTATGTATTGTAGCTAATGGTTATTAGGAAATAGTAAATCACATCAGAACATTTAGCATTGTTTAAAGTTAACTTATGTATTGTAGCTAATGGTTATTAGGAAATAGTAAATCACATCAGAACATTTAGCATTGTTTAAAGTTAACTTATATGTTGTAGCTAATGGTTGTTAGGAAATAGTAAATCCCATCAGGACACTTAGCATTGTTTAAAGTTAACTTATGTGTTGTAGCTAATGGTTATTAGGAAATAGTAAATCCCATCAGAACATTTAGTATCGTTTAAAATTAACTTTCAAGGAAAGTGCGCAAACTTGCACATATATTCAACATAGCTGGAACCACCAAAAAAAATGTGAACACTTGTTTAATAAACTTACAGCCTGACGATTCCTTGGGTTAAATTTGAAGGAATGTCAGTGACAGAATCTCCCCGACAGTGACAAGCCAGCACGTGATCGCGTGGGTCTTCCATACAAAAACAGCCATCCTCTTTGTGGGAGAAAGGGTCGTCTCTTGTGAAGGGATACTGGAAATCTTCATGGCTGACGTCCGACGGCAGAAATGAAACAGATCCGCCGGAACTGAAAATAGAAGGATAAAGTGTGTGATGCATTACCAATCTTGAGGAAGTTGGTCAACAAAATGCCGTTTATATTAGTGTAAATATAAATCTGTTTAGAAATACATTATTTGTAGAAAGCTATAGAAATTATAATTTTTCTAGATAGTACACGTTTATATAAAAAAAAGAACACCTATCATAAGTGACGTTCCTTTCACAGATGTGTTCCACGTACGTTTAATAAATCTGTATTTAACTGAGAAACCTGCAGATTGCATGTTTATCCTGCCACCTAAAGATGCGTGCCAAAACTTACTTTGTTCCAGCCCTTTGTAGCAAAAATTGAATAAAGGACAAGGTTTGTTTGTAGTTAAGCACAAAGCTACACAATGGGCTATCTGTATTCTGCCCACCACGGTATCGAAACCCGGTTTCTAGCGTTGTAAGTCCGAAGACATCCCGCTGTGCCACTGGGGGGGGGGATATAAATAACAAAGAAGAGTGTAAATGTCAGAATTACAATTGTTCTTTTTATGTGTGTGTGTCTTTAGAATATGCATAACGATTCGGATTCATGAAGCCATAATTAGGACTGGATATGATAATTATACTTGCATTCTCTATGCTTTTGGGGCCAGTTCTAGCTTGAGAACTAATACCATAAAAACATATGACTTATATACCGTCATTCAGAGTATATTAAATTTCATTTAGTTAATTGTTATTCGAAACCTAAACTGTGGTATGGGTAATATGATTTAAAACTCTTTTTGTCCGTCAAGACCTCGTAGAAATTATCATTTTTTTAAATAAAATCACTTTAAGCACTTAGTACTTTCTTGCAGCCTCAATGAATGGGAGATTGACAAAGTGTTATAAACTTTAGACAATATTTGGTATTTTAAGCAAAGCTACTAACGCTATTGTTCTCTAATTTTTAATCACTAGCCAGAGGGAAGTCAAACAGTTAGCAGCACATCTTATAATTCACCCACAGCTTAAATTACAAGGAATATTTTACGGTATCGCACGAATTTAAATCCAGAGCTCCACCACAGGGCTAACACCGCTCCCACTATAGTTTAGAGAGAAAGGAAGTGATTTTTTCTTATAAACCGATCACTGAGATTAAAATAAACCTGGCTGTTTTCAACTGTATAATTATTGTGGAGATGATTGGTGTTACCATTGTTAATCCACATAATGAAATAAGCTAGTTTCTTGTTTTCACTTCTTAGAGAACTAACTGTTAAAAATAAAATGGGTAAAAATCCATAAAAAGTTAGACTAGTCCACAGCAAGCAAACTCATTAAGTCTTCTTATTGTTAAGCCTCGTAAATACCAGTTTCTTGGTTGACTTCTCTATATTTATTACACTAGCCTCGATAACGTACATCAAAAGAAGAAAAATATATGTCTAATAATTTTTCTCATATTACCTCTTAAGTGAAAACGTTAAAAATGTAAAAAATATATATTAGTGTTCATTAAAAACAAACTACAAGAACACAGTTATGAAGACATATAACGTGAACCACACATCAACGTTCCAATCAATCCCTTCAGTGGTACTCATAAGCTATTAAAGTAGACTTGGCTGAAGATTAGTGTGTTAAAGACTAAGAAGATGTCCAAGGACAAGGATCTGAAGCTTCGCTCTGTTCACATTGTAGCCTCCAATTAAGCTTGATGACGGCAATAATCTTATCTACTAGGTATCTGTTTTATACAGGTCTGATGTTGTTCGAGCTTTCGAGTTCATCGCAGAACCAGGTTGTCTTAGTATCTTCTACTAAATGTTAACTGCTTTCTGATCATGAAATGTTACCTATACACTCGACTGTTTCAAATGGAAAAAAGTATCTCGTCGTTTTGGAAAAGTTACAGTGCAAGATGGAGAGATGTTAGTTTTGTTTTCAACAGCCAAGGTCCACGCCTATCGAAATTCAGTGTCAGAATTAAGGGTTTGATTGTTTTTGAAATAATAAATATATCTCATATATTACTCTGCAGTTAAACATTAAACTTGCCATTGCGATTATTTTTATTTGTTTCAATAAAAACAAATAGTTATAAAAATTTCTCTCACATCCTGGTGACCTATTCGTCTACTACATTACTCAGTGCCCTACTATTTGAGCCAAAAATAGTTTCTACTTTGACCGGAAATTACAGCATAATAATTCTATAGTCGACCGGAAATGATTTAAAGTGAAAGCAACCGTAATTCGTACCCTATCGGGGATCAACTTAAACAAGTGACTAACAGTTACAACCCACGAAGGAGTTAGTTAGCAACCGCGACAGAGTTAATTTCAACTCAGGTTAATTTGTACTAAAATGTGAATCGATCGTTTACTGCTTTTCACGGAAAATTTAATCAAATTGTTCATCAGGATATTGCAAATACTTAATCAACGAGTTGAAGATGTCTGAAAACCTGACTAACAATTACCTTTTACTCAGTTATGTTAATGTCCAAAGTCAGCCATTTGTATATTCGAAAGACTGATCATCTAATAATCTAAAAATTCCTTTAAATTTGACAGTAGTCGTTGAGTTTTAGTGTTGACGAGAACAATTAACGTATCAGTCATGCTAATAAACAGATTATATAAAATAGAAGTTTTAGTGGTTACGAGAATAAGTAACGTATCAGTCATGTTAATAAACAGAAGATATAAAATAGAAGTTTTAGTGGTAATGAGAATAAATAACGTATCAGTCATGTTAATAAACAGAAGATGTAAAATAGAAGTTTTAGTGTTAACGAGAATAAGTAACGTATCAGTTATGCTAATAAACCCTAACAACCATTAGCTACAACATATAAGTTAATTTTAAACAATGCTAAATGTTCTGATGGGATTTACTATTTCCTAATAA